TCATCATCATCATCATCATCATCATCATCATCAATTATTATTATTATTATGTGCTGTTCTTATTGTTGGTTTTTGGAACCTTGGCTGACCTGAAACTCACTATAGAGACCAGGCTGGCCTTGAACTCACAGAGACCCACCTGCCTCTGCCTCCCAAGTGCTGGGATTAAAGGCATGCACCACCAAGAAGCCTGCCTGTTGTTGGTTTTTTGAAACACAGTCTCACACCTCAAACTCCTTATATACCACCTCTGAACTCCTCATCCTCCTGTCTTTACCTTCCAAGTTCTGGGATCACAGGTATGTACCAGCATGCCTTCTAACCTCTGTTTTATTTAGGTAAGAATAAAATAGGTCACAGAAAAAACTGAAAATTTCTGGGTTCATACGTTACTGATTTAGTTGCCTTATTTGGTGCTAAGCTGAATTTTAAGGTCTCAGAAACCAATATCATTTTGATCAGTTCTCTTATCTGGTGACAGGGACCTGAATTTTGAAGGTTTGAGGTGGTCCATTAGTCATATACTTAGGAGCTGTGAGCTCTCTTTCCCTAAATGGAACGCATGAACATTAAAAAAAAAAAAAAAAATGACCCAATGCCTCTGGATTGTTTTTCTTCTGCTTCATTTTAAATCATATCAAAAACATGTCGAGAGTTTTTTGGTTCTGAGCCAGGTCCTTCGTTTCTCACAGTGGGATCTGGAAGGATCTGATGTTTTCTTGTATTATCTTTGTGGGTGTCAGTGCAGACAGAAGTCCTAAAACCTTTTCATTTTCTAAATATTTGATGCAGTTCATAACTTTGTAAAACTACTATATTCAGATAAGAGTGGTTCTCAAGATTTTACAACACTTTGGCTGAAAATCAGCTTGAAAGAAAAATAGTTTGAAATAGTAATAATTTGTCCTTTATTAATTTATTATTATCATCATTTTTGTGACAGGGTCTCCCTGTAGCCCCAGCTGGTCTGGTACTCACTATGTAGACCAGGCTGGCTTTGATTTCACAGAGATCTGCCTGTCTCTGCCTCCAAGAGCTGATATTGAAGGCATTTGCCTCCTTTTCTTGTCATTATGTGTGTGTGATGATGATTTGTGTGGATGAGCATGCCCGGCTGGCATGTGGAAGTTAAAGGACAATTTTGTGGAGTCAGCTCTTTAGCTCTTTTTTGCCTCCTTTAAGTGGATTCTGGTCATCAAGCTTGCTAGGCAAGAGCAAGTTCACTGAGACATCTCATCAGCCCTAATTTGATCTCTGAGGTCTATAGTTGCTTAAAAAATTTAAATACATTCTCACTGGGCATGGTGGTGCACACCTTTAATCCCAGCACTTGGGAGTCAGAGGCAGGCGATCTTTGTGAGTTCGAGGCCAGCCTGGTCTACATAGTGAGTTCCAGGACAGCTGGGGCTACAAGGAGACCCTGTCTCAAAAAAACAAACAAACAAAAAATTTAAATACATTCCCAAAAACCTTTTCTCAAATATTTGCATTATTACTTCATTCATCCATGGTAATTTTTGCTTAGTGATTTACCTTTAAAAGGGGAACATTTTGTATCACTGGAAAAGTTATCTTAGTTTTTTTTTTTTTTCTTTTTTTTCTTCATCTGAGAAAGGACAATAAAGTTTGTATAACCCAAAACTGCTAGAAGAAATTTAAATTTCCTTTAAATAAAGCTTAAGCTCTGGGTCACCCAATGTAAGTCAGGTTAACATGCAAAAACATAAATAGAAATGAAGCGAGGGTACTTAATATCCCTCAAATTTATATCTAAAATATTGCCATGGATTCAGAACTCTGAATTCCAACCAGATGTATTTCTTGACTATTACACAGGTCATATATATTTTGTCTTTTCTTTTTTAAAAAAAACCCAGGAGATCCACAGTATAATTAGACTGAGAACATCTGTTTGTGTACCTTTTTTTTTTTTTGTCTAGCCACCTTTAAGGGCAATTCTTAAATTTTTCCTGTCTGCCACGACCCAAGTGTAAATTAGTCTCTACAGCATGTGGTAAGAAAAGTATAGTGGCCCAAGGTGGCAAGCTACTTGCTTCCCGCCTGGATCCGGGACACGACGTGGCCAAGTCCACGGGGTTCGCGCGGGCACGTGTGCTGGGGACCCAGAGGACCCGAGTGTCGGGGAGCCGCTGCCCTCTACCGGGCGGCGCGATCCGAGCTGCAGCGCGGCAAGGCAGCTTGCGGGCTCCTGCGCCGCGCTGCCTTCCGAGGCAGTCCTCAGACCCCCGAGGTCCTCAGTGTCCAGCCGGGCTCCGCGCCACGCGTCTAGGCGGAGGCTGCTCCTGCGTCCCTGACGCCAGCGCGCGCTCCTGAGCACCTGTTGCGGGTCCTTCCCGCGACCTGGAGGATGTCACCGGGGCCAGAGTGCAAACCTTCTCCTTCCCGAGCACGCCCTAAAACAGGCCGCATTTGCAAGACCTGGGGACACGGGTGTTCTCGAAATCTCGAGGTGGGAGGTGGATTCCATCTCCTATCTTCCCCCCAAAATACCGAACTCACCGCAACCGATTAGCGCTAAACCCTCGAGCTCGGTTCTCAGAGTAATTATTTTCTACTTTAGTGTTTTCTTTTGTGTTCCGTACCGATGTTATTTACATATAATTTTCCAGATTAAGGAATTTGGGGATTTGTCTTAACTAATTACACCTTCAACGAAGTGCGGAAGAATGAAAATACAGTATTCCTATTGGAAACGCAAACGCGTGGGCAAATCCATTCAAGATGACGATCCTAAAAACGCGTGCTTTGGGGCCAGGTTTCTGCGAGAAAGGAAATGTATAGAGAATTTCTTTCTTTTCGGCTTAAATGTGAACACGCTTGTCAACTTGGAAACACGCGTTCTGTTTTGAGTACATGGCACGCTTTCTGCCTCCCGAGACAGACGCGGAGTTGTGAGAAACAGAGCAAGTTTCTAGGGCTGTGTCTCAGAAGCGTGTTTGGGGACAGAACTGTGCTCTGAGACTGGAAAACTCTGGGTCTAAGCTAGGGTGTCTCGAATGGAGGGAGTTGGGGGACCCCGATGCCCCTTGCTGATGCTGTCTGCGTCCTGCTGCGACAACGCGAGGGTTGCATGGGGTGCGGGGACTTGAATGTGCACGCGCACCGCGGCAGCTTCCCTAGGGGTCCCAGGCTGGTGATTAGTGTGTGTGTGTGTGTGTGTGTGTGTGTGTGTGTGTGTGTGTAGGGATAACAACTCCAAAGTCCTTTCTTGACTATGAAACGCTGTGGTCCCTGAAGGTCCCCCAGCCGGAGCGCGCAGGGGACTGGAGTGCCACGGTGTGCCCAGCACCCGGGAGGGCGGGCTGCAGCATTTGAGCGCGTGCAGGCTGCAGCGCGAGTCGGGGCCACGGCTTCGCAGGTGGTCTCTGCAAGCTCAGCATGCACGCTGCAAAAGAGCATGGTTGCAGCGCAGTCTTCCCCCCCAGGTCAAGCAAAGGGATTGCACCCCCTCAAGGCGACGGCGACCAGCGGTCGCGTGCTCCGAGGTGAGGCTGGAGGAGGCACCCTGCAGCGCCCCCTCGAGGCGGGGTCGCGGGGAGGGAAAGGCGGGGGGTAGGGGTG